CAGGGAGCCCGATGTGGGACTCGATCCCGGGACTCCAGGATCATGACCTGAGCCGAAGGCAGTCGCCCAACCAACTGAGCCACCCAGGCGCCCTGAATCAAGGTCAATCTTATTGCTGCAGGAAGAACCGTTTTCGAAGGTCTCAATTTTCAGTGGAGGGCTAGAATTCACTGCCTTTGTTTAAGCAAAGCATAAATAAAAATCACCAACTTGATATGCTAAATGCACCTCATTTATATAAAAGTACAAGATGATTTACTTAAACTCTGTCTCAAAATCAAACACAGTAATTCTGCCCCCTAATATCTTTAGAAGAAATGCAGTCAAAATAAACATGGAAAAAGATACTTAGAAACACACACTTTATTTGCAAATACTGAACCAAATGACAGCATGCAAAGACACCGCAGCAGAGCCCGCGTGCCCAGCACCAAGGCCAGAGCCCTTTGGTAGAACGCACTGCCGCTCACATCCTGTCCTGTCTGATACAGCGGCCACTAGCCACATGGGGCCATGCAAATTTAAGTCGATTAAAATTAAATAAAATTAAAAAGTATCTCCTTAATCCACACCAGCCACATTCCAAGTGCCCAAGAGCCCCATGTGGCTGGAAGCAACTGAACCACTGGAGACACAGAATGCTCCCCAATGCAGGAGGCTCTCGTGGACAGCGCTGCCGTAGACTACACAATACCTCCCCTGAGTTTTGAGACAAGGAACAGGAGGAAGTGAGGGTGGTGAGTCAGGATACACCTGGAAGGCCACAGAACTCCACGTGACGCACAAGAGGTCACTCTTGTCCAAAGAGGGAAGCAAGCAGCCCTTAGAGATGAACAGGTGTCCTTCTGGTATCAGACGCAAACCAATCAATGGCCAAGTATCAGAATGACCAACATATTACAAATGACCTTATTATTCATGTAGCTTAATTCTTTTCTCAACTTTAAACTTATTACGTGCGTCAGTGAAGCATAAATCAGAAGTTCTTCAAAACAAAAATTCTTTCAATGATACTAATGAGGAGGGCTTAAAACTCTCGAGTCCACTTGATAATTAAATTCTGGCCGTGCCCGTCCAAGGGCAACAGCAGTTAAATGAAGCAGCCATGAAGACACCCTCTTCTCCGCAACCCCCACCCCTGCCCGCCTCCCCGGTCGCCCTCTGACCCTCGCCTATGTGCTCTCAGCGGCCATCTGGCCGGAGTACAGCAACGTCTTGCCTTTGGGCCTTAGCTTAACATCGCCTCTCAGGGACCCTGTCCTCCCTCCCCCGCCCCCACCCCAGTTCTGCCTATTGCTGTTCTACTTGCTTCCTTCACAGGCAACATCCAGACTCATGACTCCCTGCCTGTGCATCATCCTCCCCGCTGGACTGCAAACCCCACGAAGGCAAGAGCCACATCAGCCTTCCTGAACACATGGCACCGGAGTGGGCTGACCTGGTGCATCTTTGCCAAGTGAAGAAGGGCTAAAAATGAGAACTATCTCCTGCTCTGAAGGTACATACGTGGTGCATGTGTGTGTTTTAATTTGTATGAAAGTAGTATGTACACAACTCAAAAATCCAATAATAGAGAGAGGCTTCTGATTTTACAAATGCCCTGCCCCATCCCTCTTCAGGCAATTGTTGTCTTGTTTCTAGTTCTGACAGTTACCTCCGAAATTCGACTTGACATACTTTTATCACCTGCAGCAGACCATCTATTATTCATCTGCTCCTCTTGTCTTACTGTGAGGAAGTAGCCCTCGCTCCCTCTCTCAATGAATGCTGTCCAATCTCTCACCTGGCCCAAGTGGGCCAGAGCACCCAGGGCCTCACGCGCACGCACAGGACTCACGCCGGGGCTGAGACCAGAGGTGGCCAGGGGTCATCCTTCCTGCCATGGGGAAGAAGCCCACCAGAGAACAGAGCCAACATAGAAATCAGAGCTGAAACATGGAAATACTTGACAGGGCAACAGAATGAAAGTGCCTGAGGTGGTCATACCTAAAGAGAACAGTGACCTCTGTACTTCCAGGAACTCTTAAGCTTTTCTTTTCTTGCTCTAGCACAGGATAGAGTCCTCCCCTGCAAATGAACCTGCTGGATTTGCCGGAGTCACGCTGAGTGATGGTTACAGACTCTACCCTATTAGAGAGGAGATGCACCTCACTCATGCTACCCATCAACCGAAGTTACATTTTTGGTTCTATTTGGTTAACTCTGTAGCTCCTATTTCCTGTTGTGTCAACTTCAGATATGACTGTATAACCCCAACAATGCAAGATGCGATTAGTGATCCTTCCATCCCTCACCTTTTTCTCTACCTTCCACTCCCAAATTAAGTTGGTTAGTTTCCCTTTTATTTTTCTTGGAAATAAAAACATTTTCATTCTGTTCTGAAACCAAAATTAAGTAAATAAGTCTTCAATATTTTATTCACAAAATGACTTTAAAATTGAAAAATCAAACAGCATTTATGATTATGTGAATATAGTTTCCAACAAAGCCAAGGAACGTAGAATAACATTTCTTTCTATAGGTCCTTGGTCATGACCCCTGAGCCACTTAAAGAAGCTATTTAAATTCAAGGGTTTCAATCAAATTGATTGTTGAAAATCATGCCATACTTTGGTTTGCTTCATATTTGGACCATGACTTCCTTGTTGTTTATTTTTCCTAGAGATTAGAATTGCCTCTTGCTTTTCCTGCTGGAAGAAGAAAGATATAGCTGTACCCTGTAACTAAAGTCTTCCAGCTTCTCACCCATTTAATCTAAGCCAAGGCATTCTTCTTGAAAACACTCATTCCTCTTAGAAAGCACTGACTATCCTAATATGGACTGGTTGTTTCTGATGCATGCTACAAGGCTGCCTTCTTGTAACTTCTCTCTTGGGTTCCCTGTCCTTTTTAATTCACAATCACATGTAAAGGTACAAAAATATCTTGGGCTTCCAAATCTTTAAGAGAGGAGGAAGCCCTCAGGTTTACTTTTTTTCACCAATAAAACATTTTCTTTTTTTTTTTAATTATATGACATTTTGGGTTTGTTTTTTTTTAAGATTTTTATTTATTTATTTGAGAGAGAGAGAGCACAAGCGGTGGGGTGGGGAGGGAGGGCAAAGGAGGTTTCCCACTGAGCAGGAAGTCCGACGTGGGGCTTGATCCCAGACCCTGGGATCATGACCCGAGCCAAAGGCAAACGCTTAACCGACTAAGCCACCCAGGCGCCCCAACAAAACATTTTCAAATGCACATTAAGCACAGCAGAGCTTGCACTGGGCAGCAAAGTTCCTACCTCTGAGAGTGTATAGTACAGGACATGGAATATACAGATACTCTATGAAGGTTAGTCTGAGGTACCTACCAGACTTGAAGATGTGGATCAGACACATTAGCAGCGTGCCTAGTTCTTGACAATAGAAAGTATGTTGCTGTTCACTCATTTCCACTTTTAGCTGTTTTGTAACAATATCCTCCAAAAGAATGCCAACTAGTTGTAGTAGAAACCTTCAAAGAAAGGGAAAAGTCCGATAGTCAATTAGGTGACTGTTATAGAGTAATTATATGAGGTATACTGAAAAAATACATATGGTAGAGGTGAAGTAAAAATATAAATAAAGTTAAGTAAACAAAGTGCAACATTTAATACCATCCCTTTGTATTAAATCACTTTCCCTCTCTGTGTATCACCTTCCTCACTTATGAGATGGCAGTAAACATATCACCTTCAGGACTGTTAGAAGGATAAAATGACATGTAGTGTTTCTTTAAAGCTTTGCAAACCATAAAGCATCACAGAAATACCAGACAACAATCCACTGTAGGAATTTAATGTATCATCCATTTTAGCCACCTGCTTAAATGTAGCAGAGGGAGCCAAAGGCTACCTGGTTGAACCTACAAACAAAAGGGTGTCGGGCAAGTTTACTGGATTTATCTCCATAAACACACAGGCACCTCACCAATGACCAACGACAGGGAGGCTAAACGGATGTTATGTGGGCCTGCCTGGAAGGAGCACATCCGCACAAACCACACTCATGGGACATCTCACCAGCTCTACCTTACTGAGTGCCCTGAATCCAGCAAAGGTGGACACACACTTGTCTAGGCAATAAGCATTTACTGGGCCTGACTTTTGATTACTGCCCTCAAGGAGCCTCCAAATAATTTGTGAAGGTAGACATGATTTCATATCACAAGTACACCATGGGGAACACAGTGGGAACAGTCACCCTGGCAGGAAGAAAGATTTTATTATTGACTGTGTTTAGAATGACCAGTACACATGACAATAAAAATGAGACTTTTAGTGGGTTTTCTTAGATTTTTAAACTCTTTGCAGGCAACACAACACACATCCCTACTGCTAGCACCTAGGTCAGGCCAGCCTCAGCCCCCACTGCCATGGTCAACCACTGTGTGGCCTTTAACGAGGATACGAGATGGGACGTGACAGAGCTGTAAGAGAGACATGAACCCAGGGCCACAGTTGAGGCAGATCAGGTAAAGAAAGTACATCCACACAGACTTCTTTACCCCACTTGCAGTGCTGAAGCAAGACCAGGAGTTATTGCAGACTTACTGATCGCAAAATGCTACGGCTTCCTGAAGGCCGTGGGATGGTTAAAGGCTTAGATAGAGAGCATACCTTGAAAATGTTTCCTCTGGCAAACTCTTGATTTGTCTCCCTTCGTTGTGTTCTTCCGGTGTTGAAGTACTGTCCCCATCTCTTAACCTATCAATTATTGGACAGGAGATTAAATATGGGGAGAAGGAGAGCTCCTGAATACGAGAAAGAACAATATCTTCAGTTGACTGGGAAATGAGAACCCTCAAAATGGCCAGGATTCCTGAGATCCACAGTTGAACAGTGCTCACAGATGCCTAAAAGAGAGAAAACACGGGATAGTTGAAGTAAAAAGAGAATTACACTTTTTCCTGATTGCTAGTTTCATGAATGAAAATTACTCCTATTTTACCATTCTATCAATAAAGCCAATAAATTATCACTGGTTCCAAAGTGTGGTCCCAGACAAGCAGCATCAATACCATCTGGGAACCTGTTTAAAATGCAAATTCCCAGGCCCCACCATGACCCTGACAGAGTCCCCAGGTAACTCTGATGAACCGCTGCACAGGCATGAAAAGAAGGTGCCATCATGAGGCAAGACACTCACCATTGTATCTGGAGTGACAAACATACTCCGTAAAAGCATGTCCACGGGACGGAGGGAGGAAGGGGCCAGAATCTCAAATAAAGTATTTAACACTCCAAGGGCTTCATGAGAATCAATGTGCATCTGTTGCAATTAAACATCACAAATGTTTTCCCGTAAGTCAACAAACATGTTAACATTTCTACCTCAAGTTAGGTACCTCTAGGTCAAATGACCTTGACCATCCATTACCAGCCCTGCCTTTGAAAGCATCTTTAGCAGTGAACCAGGAAAACGGTTTTTAGAACACCATATCAGCTACATTTTTCCCATAAGGGAAATTTTTTCATTTAGATTTTTATTATATAAACAACATACATTTTCTGTAAAAGATTCAAATATTTAAAAGTATGGAAAAACCCGCTGGAATCACAGCCCTCTGACATCACCATCCACACTCTGGGACCCTCTCTCATGCATCTCTTTTTTATACATACAGAATTTACCTAAATGGGATATCACACACAACTCTTTTCCTTTCTTCGCTTTACCTGCACCCCATCCCTACTCAGCCAATTATGACAAATGTTAATAAACTGGTGTACCATTGAGTTTTGAACAACACGGGGGTCAAAGGCAGCCACCCCCACAGAGCTGAACATTCGTGTATAACTTCTGACTTCCCCAAAATGATAGCCTACTGATGACCAGCAGCCTAATGGATAACAGAAACGGTTGATTGACACATATTTTGTACAAGGATTACATACAGCATTCCTACAATACAGTAAATTAAAGAAAACAAAATGTCATTAAGAAAATCATAAGGAAGGGGCACCTGGGTGGCTCAGTTGGTTAAGCGACTGCCTTCGGCTCAGGTCATGATCCTGGAGTCCCGGGATCGAGTCCCGCATCGGGCTCCCTGCTCAGCAGGGAGTCTGCTTCTCCCTCTGACCCTCCCCCCTCTCATGTGCTCTCTCTCTCTCATTCTCTGTCTCAAATAAATAAATAAAATCTTTAAAAAAAAAAAAATCATAAGGAAGAGGAAATATACATACAGGACTGTCCTGTATTTATAGAAAAACATCCTTGTTGTTCAAGGGTCAACTGTATTTCTAACTTTCTCCATGTTCCTATAATCCTATACCCAAACACACGTAGAGAGGTTTTTGTTTAAGTTGATTTGAAAAATCATGTTATGAATGTCTCTGCTTTTTTCCCTTAAAAATGGAATGGATAACTCCCAAGGCAACAGGTTTTAAAATCTAACGTTTTTAATGGATGCAAAATATTCCAAGCTAAGTGTCTCCCACCATGTGATCAAGCACTGCCTTCGTGATGGGTACTGCTCATCACTAAGAGTGTGTCCATAGCCAGTGAACCTGTCTGCAGAGATGCACTGTTTTCAGGTGCCCATGTGAACACCACATGCACCGAGTCTACCTCAACGGTCAGGAAACCATCCAGAGAGCTTCTGCACTCCCAAGCCTTCCACCCAGGCCTGCACCTGCCCCACCAGCTCTGCCTCTTCTGGGTCTTCAGGAGGAGTACATCAGGCCCACAGCCAGGGCCAGCCCCAGCCCCAGCCCCATGAGGGCAATCCCCTCTGCCTTCGCCCTCAGTATATGCACAGGCCCTAACCCCTCTTTCCACCTCTGGCTGCCACCCCACATCTACTCCTTCTCAGAGTCCGTTTCTTTCCTATTCCTCTCTCACCAACACACCTGAGCCAGGCTTCTACACCCTCCACCCACTCAAACCTCCCCAGTGGCCACCACGCTGCCAAATGCAGGGTCAGCTCCCAGCTCGTCTGCTCAGCCTGTGAGCAGCCGAAAGCTGACCCCTCTCTCCTCCAGGAAATGCCTTCCTTTCTTGGCTTCAACAATACCACCCCACCTGCTCTTCCTTCCCCACCTCCTCCATGAACTTGTCCTCACCTCTCTGGCCTCTAAGCTCAGAGCTCGGCCTTCCCCTCCTTCCCAACTACACAGGGTCCCCTGGTGACCTCTTCCCATCCTGATGTTCACCTCCTGCTCAGCTCCACCTCAACAACCACAGACTCGTACACCCAAATGCCGGCCTCAGCCTCTCCAGAGTGCCTCCCAGGTAAGCCAGCTGCACACGCCCAGACCAGGATCCCTCCTCCTCATCTCCCCAACTCAGTAGACAGGAGGCCCATCACCTGCGAGCTTCCCTGCTCCCATCCACGTGAAGCTGAGAGCCAAGCTTACCAGTTCTGCTTCCACACCGTATTTAGCAGGTGGCTACTGCTCACCACCTCATTCCCCACCCTGGTGCACGCAACCTCCACGCCGCAGGCAGGTGCCCCTGCTCGGCCCTCACTCCCACCCTGAGATTATCCTCAGCTCTCAAATCACACCATGCCACTTCTTTGTACCAAACCCTCTACAGGCTTCCCAAAGTCCTCCACACTGGCCCGAGAGGCCCTCCACGCCCCCCAGATCCTGGCTGCCCTCCCTACTCCCCATGGCCACTTTGCTCCATGCACATGGCCTCTCGAAGTTCTCTGATCCCACCGGGCAGGCTCCCACACCTTAGGATCTGCACTGCTGTGTTTTCTCTGCCTAGAAAGCTCTTAACCCAGGTCAGGTTTAGGCAAATTGAGCAACGCAGCCCTGCCTGGCCACTCCCACCTCTCTTCTCTCCTTGGCCCACCCTACATTACCTGCTGCCATCTGGTGTTTCACACACGTCACTAAGTTACTTCTGTGGTCTGTCTCCTCCAGCCCCATCCAATGAAACTGTCACTCCTAGAGGGCAGGCTTTTCAATGGCTCTGTCCACGTTCATATTTACTGCTGGTACCGAAGAGGGCCCAGCACTACCTGTGCATGGACCATGCACCTGCGCTTAGCCACCTGGTGGGCACCGTGCAGCGGTTCACACGGCTTCACTGGGGCAGGGATCAAGCTGGACATTTACCATGCCTTCCGGCCTTCCAGCTCCACCTTCCTTAGATTGTGTACACGACAAACAAGAGACTGGAATAAAGTTTTTGGAGTACTACTCTAAAAATATAGATCCACAGACATGGAAACCGTGACCACGTTAAAACACCACATTCACCAATTTATTAAAACTGCCCTCTGTCAATGTCACCGCAAGTCAAGACTCCCTCCCTGTCAAGTGGCTGCTGGATAACAAGTCCGTTAGGAAACCAGAATGGGGCTGAGGCGATGAAGACAGTAAGAGCTACCGCATCACGTCTGCACATTTGCACCGACGGCCAAGAGTCACGGACACTGCCTATTACCCAGAGTACTTGCTTCCTCCACCAGGACAATCAAGATGAGCAAACAGGTATCTGCTGACGCATCCAAAGCACTTAAGACCCAGAGCTCTGCTGACCGCTGGTGAGGCTTCCTGGAGGGCCATAAGCGGCACTCCCCTGCCACCCTGGGACACCCCCAACACCCCATTTACAAAGGTGCTGCTGCACCTGCAACGGGCATCCTGTCCTCGGACACCCGGTGGCAGACATGGCTCAGAAGCCCTGTGACTGAGTGGGCTCCATCCCCCACGGCACAGCCAGATCACCTCACTCGCTGCAATTATGGAGACAACTGATCGCATCGCTTGATTACAGAAGTTCTGCTTAAATGATGGATCACGGCTGACAAGGGAAAACAAACAGCTCGAGATCAAGTAGCAACGCCTGACTGAGCAGAATGAGGGAGGCAGGGCGGCCAGACGGGAAAGGACACAGCTCTGGACTCGGACCGCTGGCTCTGCCTTGGCCCCGGCCCTCTCCAGCCATGCACCTCTGGGTGGGCCTGGGCTCCGCTCTTGTGAAGCGGGCGACACAGCAACCTGAGAAGGTCACTGAGAATGAATGAAATCCCTGCCCTGTTGAGCGGCACTGATAAGGATCACAAATCGAATCTGTTACAACTCAGTGAAATGCCAATCCCAAGCACCGCCTCCTATAAGAACCTTTGCCACTTAGGAAGGTGTCCCAGGGACCCCATGGCAACAAGGCAGACGTGGGACAAACCTGCTGCTTGGCTAACATCGGGAGGATGACGTCGGCTATCTGCCGAGACAGTCGCTTCCACTTGTCTTCGTTCTCCTTGTGGCACTGCTGCAGGACCAGGATGAACATCTCCAACACCTGCAGGGGGTGGGGGGCAGGTCAGAGCTCCCAGCCGGTCGTGCTCCCAGAGCACATGTGCCCGCCTGCTGCACTGACCCCAGCTCCGACTCCAGAATGCAAACCCAGCGAGGGCCTGATGCCCCCAGCGCCACCCTGGCCCCGGGACACATGGGAAACCGCAGAAGAAAATGCAAGGGGCACCCTCCAACAAGCACAGTCCTTGGGATCATGTGCCATCATTATACTTCTATGCTTCTACGGAGTTTACAAGATTTCACAATCAGAGAAAAGGCACAAAAAGAGAATCAAATTTATACTAACCTTTGGAAAAACGCAAACACAGCCCTGACTAAACTATTCTGCAGACGCCGCCTGACTTCTGTGTACGTTAATTTCAACTCTGTGCTCTTTACAAAGCTGATCTCCTACCGAGTCACACTTGCTCTCAGAGAAGTTACCCATGGTCGAGCACGAGTTTATGAGTGATCAGTTCTAAGCAGAGACAGCTAAAAGCCTGTTTTTGTAAATAAAGTTTTATTGGCACATGGCCATACCCACCGTGAACACACTGGCTGGGACAGCTTTTGTCCACAGCAGCCGACCTGGGGTGTTGCAACTGATGCCCTAGAGCCTGCAAAACTGAAAATACTTACCACCTGCCTGTTGACAAAAATGCCTGTCAGCCTGGCCTGTTCACCACAAGTGCCGCAAAGGCAGCCAAGCCAATCCAAGCTACTCTGTAAGAAGCCCACCCGCCTGCCCCCTCCACAGCCGCCCCTCTGCTCAGTGGGCTTGGCAGCGCTTCTCCCACAAGAGGGGGACCTGCACTCCATTCTGACTCTCCTCAGCAAAGGCTAGCCGACCCTCTCTGTCCTCTGAAGAAGCAGACAGAGAGCTCCCCAAGCGCATGTGGCTGACGGGCCACTCTCCAGGCCGCCCTCCAACCCAGTGTGCTTTGTACCTTTCACTGTAATTATGGGATTTAATTAAACAGTAAGCATTTAATTAAACATTATATAGATTAACCAAAATGAGTATGCACAAAGAAAGTGTTTCCACGAGAAAAGCTGAGGACTTTAAGATTCAAAGACAAATAGCTACCAAGAATTACAAAACAGTGAGGGCCAGGCAAGCGAGCAAGCTAAGAGTGGCCTCACTGGAGAGGCCTGATGCTAGATCTCTGCACTGAGGCCCCACCCCAATCAGCCTGAAATTGTGCTCCACCTTACGGAAAACAAAACCACAGTTAGCACAAAGGAAAAGACCCTAGCCCTACTTCAGTATATGGTAAATAGATGTACAAAATAAAGTCTTTAGATTACTTCAGATGTGAGATTTTTTTTAAAAAAGATTTTAGTTATTTATCTGAGAGACAGACAGAGCACGAGATGGGGGAAGGGAAGAGGGAGAGGGACAGACTCCCCGCTGAGCGTGGAGCCCAATGTGAGGCTTGATCCCAGGACCCCGAGATCACGACCTGAGCCGAAGTCAGACGCTTCCCCGACTAAGCCACCCAGGTGCCCCTCAGATGTGAGATTTTTAAAATCATCTTTTAGAATTCTATCATTTTGATCAATGTCAATTAACTGATTTTTGGTAATTTTGGAGAAGAGGGTCTCCAACTTATTTACTTCCTTGAATGACCTTGTGACTGTCAGTCAGGTGGCAGGTGACCTCCCCATGTGGCTGTACAGCTTTAAAGACCAAACCTCGGCAAGCCTATCCCTCCCTGGCATCTCCCCAGACTGAGAGCCGGGGGCAGCACAAAGGATCACCCGCTAATTAGTGGACTGTGGGCCACAGGGCATTTCCTCCTGCCCCTGCAGAGACAATGGAGTGCCAGGGACCGCCCCACGCCTCCCTTACCTGATGGTACTGGATGAGTCTCAGCAGCATCGACACCACCACCTCTTTCTGGGTTTCAAGCTCTTTTCCTGCGTCGGCTTTATTGGTTCCTCTCAGGACAAAGAGGTCGTGGACTATCGGCTGCAGAGCTGGTATGGCTGTGGTGTAAAAAGGCAGGCTCAGAAGGCATCACAAACCGTTACACTGCAGACAGAGCTTAACACCTCCAAGACATGTCCAAAAAATAAGAAAACTCTAATCCGTGCACAGCTTATGATAAGGGATAAATTCGGGTTATCAGTGAGCGCTACGAATTATCAGTATGCCGTCATGGAGGCCACAGGTCTTCCTCAGACACTTACTGATCATTTTGTGAAATCTTAAAAAAACAAAAACAAAAACTAGGGTGTTGTGATGTAACATCATTTCTGACAAAAGAGACACAAATCCAAAAGCCAAATTCAAACTAAAATCTTCCGACTAACTAAAGTAGCAACATCCTACTCTAATGCACACTCCACTTAAAGATTTACCTGAAAAGATGACAGTGTTCTTCAAGAGAAAACATGTAAAGTATTAGATTTCTATGCTGTTTTAATAATAACTCACTCTCCTTAGATAAAGCCTTTCCCCCAAGTCTTGTCTTTATCCAAAACAGCAGTCAAACTAGGTTCCTCAGTCTACCGCCACCGGAGGGACAAACCGTCTAAGAAACGTCTCTCATGGGGAAGGGTGTGGCCCAATCATGTCACTGATGTCACTGTAAGGCGCTGTCTGCCTAGTGGCACGCACACTCGGGCACACTCAGGCACACGCACACACAGCATACTTGTTGAATGTTCTACAGGTGACCACGTCTTCCACAAGAAAGTACTGCCCACTGATTTTCTACCCAAAGACCCTCTAATCGAGGGGGTTTTCGTCATCCTTCTATTTGACATTTGCACCAGGGACCCCAAACTCCGTATGTGTACAAGTGTGAACTTTTGCTGTGGTGTGAAAGCCCTTGAGAGGCCATGGCAAAGGCGACTCCAGAGACCGTGAGAATCAGATGGTGCTGAGTGTCTACCCCTCAACACGTTACCTGCTTTACCACAACCACATGGAACAGAGAACGCTGCACACCATAGCGCCCTCCTCTGCGGTCTACAAAGGTCTTAGGATGTACCCTCACCAAGGTTCAAAAGCCTACTGATTCCTGACAATGGAGCCAGAGAGGAGTCAAGGGAAAATGCTGAAGATTTACAGTTTATTCTTCAAACCCCAACCTCCTTGTGCAGGTGAGAGGAGGCTGCTTGAGGGCAGACCATTGTCTGTGCTCCTCAGTTAAGTCTCTACAAAGAACCAGGCAGCACAGAAGGTCCTGAACCGAGGCCAGACCACTCCTTCCCGGGCCAGTGCACAATACACCAAGTGTCCTTACAGAAGGTGGATTTTTCAGTTTCGTGTGTTTCGCGTAATCAGACTAGAGTGTTTATGTCAGACTCTCTCTGTACCTCAGATCACCTTACTGCTTCTTGTGTTTTTACCTTAGGAGACTGTAAGCTCCTGAGAGTAAAGGGGGGAGCTCTCTCCCTTTTGTGGCCTCGCTAAGCCGTGCGCACATGCACACACACGTGCACGCACACACACGCCTATGCACATGCATACACATGCACGCTCGCACACGCATGTACACACACAGCTACAAAGCACGGCGCAGCCGCGGGCACAGTTGGAAGTTGGTGTAATGAAGACTAACACTGTCCAGCACATCATTACTGACGACCACAGGGAAAGGTTTGTCCCGTTACCATGTGTCACAGCCTTCCTCCCACTGGCCATGATGCCATCACAGAGCTGAATGATTTTAGGAATTCCAATGATCTGTTTTGAATGATAGCGTTCGTAAGACAGTAATACCAGGAAGAAAAAGATGTTTGGAATAATTGCCTCTGATTCCCTAGAAACAAAAACATCCATTTAGATACTTCCTTTTAAAATTAAGATACATAATCAATATAAACAACATGAAATTACTAATGATTCCGAACTGAGAGCAAAAGAGAAAAGGACAGAGCAAGGGGGCAGGGGGGGAAGTGGGGAGAGTGAGGGGAGGGAATGAGGGGAGGGAATGAGGGGAGAAAGGGAAGTGGAAGGAGGGGTGGATGGGGAGGGCTGAGGGAGAGCCCCCGGAAAGCACCCAACGGCACTGGATGCCCCAAGGCACAATCTTCTTAGTTCTCCTCCTGCCCCTTCTCTCTTCAGTTGAAGAAATTGAGACTCAAAGGAGGAAAAAGTAACTTGTCTCAAATCACATAGGCAAAATGTCACCTAATTAGAGTAAGAAAGTCCAGGGTCTCTAGACCCAAGGGACACTGAGAACACATCCTTCTTCACCGTGTTTCCCTACTTACTAAGGACAGCTGACCCCCGACAACATGGGTTTGAGCTGCGTGGGTCCACTTATACACAGGATTTTTTTTTTAATAAATACAATACTATACTATAAATATATATTATCTTCCTCACAGTTTTCTTAACATTTTCTTTTTTTCTGGCTCACATATCGTAAGAATACACACAATACATATAACACATAGAATATGAGTTAATCGATTGTTGACGTTATCCGTAAGGCTTTCGGTCAACAGCAGGCTCTTGGTAGTTAGCTTCTTGGGGAGGCACAAGTTACATGCGGATTTCTGAGTATGCGGGGGTCGGCACCCCTGACCCATGTTGTTCAAGGGTCCACTGCAGCTCAGACACTGAAGAGATCTCATTTTCAGCAACTACACTTAAACGCCTGTCTCTGGCACAGGAGAGGGTATTCAGGCCTTAGTGTCCAGTAAGGGAGAGCTGCAGTTCTTCTCAGGAAAGCACACAATAACCACCTTTACCACAGGCAGCCACATCTAAAACGTGTTTTCTCTAGAAAGCTCAAAAACCAATCAGCATTCCAGCAGAAGAGACTGCATTTAGCAGTTGACACGTCTAGGGCGCCTGGGTGGCTCAGTTGGATAAGCGACTGCCTTCGGCTCAGGTCATGATCCTGGAGTCCCGGGATCGAGTCCCGCATCGGGCTCCCTGCTCAGTGGGGAGTCTGCTTCTCCCTCT